GTGTAATCCCTAGAATGCTACGTGTAGTCTTTGATCGTCATCAGTAAGTGCTTAAGTCCTCTTCACCTTCAGCAAACAAGGTCGTATCATCTGCATATCACAGGTTAGAGCCTTCCTCCAGTACTGATGCTGCATTCTTCATATAGTCCATCTTCTCGGATTATTTGCTCAGCATACAGATTGAATAAGTATGGTGAGAAGATATAATCCTGATGCACACCTTTCCTGATTTTAAACCATGCAGTATCCCCTTGTTCTGTTTGAACAGCTGCCTCTTTGTCTATGTACACGTTCTTCATGAACATAGTTAAGGTGTTCTAGAATTCCCATTCTTCACAATGTTATCTGTAATTGTTTTAATCCGCACATTCAAATGTATTTACATAGTCAATAAAACACAGTTAAACATCTTTCTGGTATTCTTTGCTTTCAGCAAAAATCCATCTCTATCTGTCACTGTACTCAAGAATAAAGGTTGCATTGTCTTCCTCTATGTATCATTATCAGCTATTAAGACTTTGGGCAATAAAGTAGACTTCAAGAATCTTTGGCTATGGAGACAGAAAAGCTGAGAGATGAAGTTTGCCACTTTATTCCACTTTAAAAGCCCAGCACTGACATTTTCACTTCCAGTCTGAAGTCATCATTAGCATTTCCCCAAAAAAAATATACCTTCTGACAAATTTACAGTTTGTGAAAGATCAGTAGAGATTTTCAAGTCAATATGCATCAAAAGAGAGCCTTCAACATCCTTTTTATAAAATAGTTATTTATTACCATTTTCAAAAGTCCCAGCTTCTTATTAACCATATCTTAGAAAGATAAGTATTGGGATGATTGCCAGGCTTTATGTTTAAAATAGATTTATGTTCCAGTTAATAGTTACTTCAGTTTTTTGTTTTTATTTGTTTTAGCTTCTATATGATGTCAGTCCTTTCAAATTAAGTCTTTAAAATTATTAAATACAAAATAGTATTTGGTTATTTCATCTCACCTGAGTGGCATTATTGTATCTGATCTTTTGTCTGTATGCTTTCTTATAGGTGGTATA